TTAATTTTGTGTCTTGAGAGTTTCAATCTGAGTTTGTAAGCAGTAAAAGGAAAAAAAAAAATAGAAGAGCAGAGAAAAGAGGACCCCAGCAGCACAGAAAAAAGACTATAAAGAATGTCAGTTTGTTTGTAGTGTAGTGAATTGACATGTTCTTATCTTCCCCTTCCCTCCCCCAATTTGATGATCAGAAAGAGAGGTGTGGGGTTAACTTATATGATGATTGAGTGCACGTGTGGTTACTTGTGTCCACGTGCACCTGTTTTTATTCACTGAAAATTGATTGATTTTTGTCTCTGTGCTTTCTCTCTCTCTCTCTCTCCCTGTTTCTCTGATATTTCTTCACCCTTGTTCTCTTGTCATTTTGCTAACTGTCGCCCTCTATTTGGTCCCCCTCCTTTGTCTTATTTCTTTGCCTTACCCCCGCTTTCTTTCTTCTCATTCTTATCCCCATTCCCCCTTCCACAAGTCACAAGTTTTCCCTTGGTAAAAGGTGAAAAAAAAAGTCCCCACATCAATATGATATTACTTAGCATATAGGAAGAGCTGGGGAGTTCAAGTGGGAGAAATAATTGATGTTCCTTGTGTTGTTACATTTGGCTTGCCTAATGGAGTAAATTATAAGCCCTAGGCCAACAAAATTAGAATTGCTGGACCTAGGCCAATATTCTTGTTCCTTCTTTTTCTTTTCTCGCCCTTTTTTGTACTGGACCTAGTACAGTATTATATGTTTATGTCAATCTTGTACACATTATGTAGATTTACAGAGTGTCTTTTAACTAAAACTATTCCTTGATTGACTTGTTTTATCATTGAAAAGAATTACTGTATATAAATTTTGGAATATCAATTTCAACAAATACCTTCAAGATTTAAATTATCAATTCTATAAATATTATTCTGTACATTGATGACAAAACGAGTTTACATTATTAACCGATATTCATTGAAATATTCAGCTCAATTTAATAATTTCTTCATTTATAAATAGGTAGAATGTCTTTTATAAATATTGTATATTAATTTTTTAATTAAAAAAATTCAAATAGTACTTTTTAAACAATAAAATTTATACTAATTAATAAATTAAAAACCCATATATATATATTAAATTATACCAGTCAGGTTACTCACGTCACTTAAAGAATGAAAATATCATCTATAGCTACATCTTACAAATTTTCTCGTATTTTAAAAGGGTTTTTTTTTTTACATAGAATTCTAAGTAAACTAAACTCTTCCACTCTGACAAGGAAAAGTCACAAGGACTAGGATACCATTAACTCACCACCAACCCTACATTGAATATTGCATTGCAGTAGCTAGTAGTAGCTCAAAAATAAGGACTTCGAGTTTTAGTCCCCTTCATAGGCATTAGGGTCTACAAAGGGTAGAGAATTTGCTGCAAATGCGACAATGGGGGATGTCACGTGTGCTGGTCCAACCTCATTCTTGGACCTACTGCCCTCACTTTTCTTTATAGCCAGGGCTTTTGCTTCGAGAAACTATATTAATATCTCTTCATATAAGTTTTTACTGAGAGAGAATTTTACAAAATATAAATCTATTATTCAACCTTAGCACAATACATACTTTTCATTCAAATCAGACGTGTAAACAATGCAAATATTTTTTTAACAAAAAAGTATTTATTACACATATCATATGCAAGTTATTTAATGATGTTAAGAAGTGAAGAAAAAAACTGTTTTGCTTGGAAACATGTTATAATTTAAATAGAAAGATTATATGTTAACTTAACACAAAATAATCATTTAAAATGAGTCATTTTTTTTAATTTTTGTTTACATTTCTACCACCTTGTAAACATGCATTACTCACATGAATTTCATATCTCTATCTCATATTTGACTCTCTCTCTCTCTCTTATTGGGATTTTTCTCTCATAAAAGAATCAATTAATTATATAGAATAATAGAATTACAAATAGCAACAGTTAGCCCAACATGCAAATAACTTTTAAACTCTTTGGATAAGAGCTCAATCCAAAAACAAAAGGTAAGCAGCAAAGATAACATATCCATATCTAATTTGTAACTATTTGTATTTGAAACTTATTTTATCAATTAATCTTTGTACTATAAATATATTATATTGAAAAGGATATGGAAAGGCAATTTAATTTTCTTCATTTTCAATTTTCTATATTGAATTTTTTTATGGTATCAGAATCACTGTAATGTCTATTTAGTCAAGAATTTTTTCTTTCTTCTCAACTGGCCATGTCTTCCTTAAACTAAGAAAATACAAACTACCTTTCAATCCTACACTTCTCCTCTCCAATCAAACAAATCCCTTGATTACTATTAATGTTGCTATGCACTTGCCTATACAACTTACCCCCTCATAACTTTCTTTGATAAAGGACTCAATTTAAGTCTTTCTTAGTTAAATATAAGTTACTTAGATAAGTGGATAGTTCTACCCCCTGGTCTCTTGCCATGATATCAAAACAAGATTTGAACCCTATTATTCTCATTGCTAACCCAACATGGCATTGGATTAGACAAGATTAGTTACTGCTTCATAACATTATTTCATTTGCCACAAAAAATGTTATGCCTTTTTTTGCCTCTATTTGAACTTTTTTTGATTCTTAGGCCAAAATCAACAAGCTGTATGCTAATAAGTCTAGATCTTGAATGATGAACCTAACAAAAAAAAAGTTTAAAAATCTTAGAAGCGTTGTTGATGAACTTGCATTGGTGAACTCACTTGTGAGTGAAGATGAACTTATCATCTATGCTCTTAATAGGATTGGTTATAACTTCAAGGAAATTACAATGAGTGTAAAAGCTAGGGAATCTTGCATTATCTCTATGTTGGAATGAGCCCTGTAACCAATTGGATTGGTCAAGGCTTAGATCCAATCATCAAATCATGCAATCATATCATTCATGTTAAATGATTAAAGGTTTTCCTTTATCTATAAGACAATTATTATAAGCTTATTAGATGAAGTCCATGAGATTAATATGCCTTGTAAGGGAATTGTGAAGTGTTAAAATTATGAGATTTTTGTAGATCAAAGTATAATCTTTATATGTTCTTGATCGATGTATCATTGAGGCTGGACATCCATGATGCTTAAAGACTAGTACACCTAATATTCTTTACTTGAAATGTAAGCAATCAATCTTATAAGTTGAAATATAAAGATACTTAAAACTAGAATATGGGTGTTTGTTTTTAGAACAAGTTCACTGAACATGACTCGCTATAAGAAATGCATTTGGTATTTCACTTTATTGTTTATATAAGGAGTGTACCTATTCTCTAGACTTGAGACACCAAGTTGTCTTTTATGTACAGTATTATACTTTGATTTCGTCCCTACAGATCTTACCAAAGATGTCAAAACAGGAAGTTGTTAAGTGTAGCATGAAGCATGTGAAGGCAAATGAGTGGTCAATATAAGAATCATCACTCCAAGTGATTTATAAGACATATTCTAATTCTTCTTGATTGATATTTGCTTATTGAAGTCTTTAGCAAGGCAATTTAGAGATTATGAAAGGAGTTTCATGAGTTTCTATAAAGCTAATGGTCTAATTGTAAGAATGAACACGAAGATCAATGAGAATAGACACTACATCATGCTCTTATCATTTTTTTGATATATGATGAGGGAATGAATTACACTGAAAACTAATAATTGAAATATTAAGTCAAACCATCTTGACTTTTCTAACATTTGAGTGGTTATTATGTATTGCTAGATCCCGCTCTTGGTTTATGAACTTTAGATAGTTAATTTGATTAATAATAATAGTTGAAATTTATCTAATGTTAAGTTTAACTTAAGGATTATATCTTCAGCTTATTGCCAATATGTTAAAAGCCTAATAGGTCACACACCTAAAATGAATATTGAAAATAAAATTGAAGAAAGTGATTAAGTTGGACTTAATCAAATTAGAATTTATAAACTTCTTAAAGATTTAATTAAGTTATTGGATTAATTGGTGATTACATAAAAGTTGTGTAATTGACCTAATTAAGGTTAAATTAATCCAATGTGTAAATACCTTGCTATAGCCTTCTAATACATGAGAAGTCGACACACTTGAAAAACACTCTTGCCCCATTCACCCCTTGTGAAGAGAAAATCATTTTTTTCACTTAGTGTTGTGTGTGTTTGGCCTTAAGGTTGTTTTGTTTGGGATTTGAGTTTATGAAAACTCATCTTTGTTAGTACATAAACATGACATAGCACTCTCAATTCTTAAAAAAAGATTTTCTGATTCATCAGTGTAGATCATCGTTAGAGGTATTGGTCCTAAT